TCTCTCTCTCTCTCTCTCTCTCTCTCTCTCTCTCTCTCTCTCTCTCTCTCTCTTTCTTTCTTTCTTTTGAACTGGGGATCGAACTCAGGCCCTTGCACTTGCCAGGGACGCACTTATTCTACTGAGCCATCTCTCCGGCCCATGAATTATATCTCAATAAAAATGTTTTTGGTTTTTTAACCCCCACCCCTGGCCCCCAGGCCCCCAGGATCAGGACCTCACTCGTGCTCAGCAATGCTCTGCTTTGCCCTCTTTTAAAATTTTATTTTTAAACAAATCTGTGTGTGTGTGTGTGTGTGTGGCCGGCTCGGCCTGCCCTGGGGCGGAGCTGGCATGGAGTGTGGTGCCAGGGATCAAACCACCATCCCTGGGCTTGCCTAAGCAGGCACTTTACGCCACTGGGCTAGCCATCTCACTGGCCCTTAAAACTTTATGCTAAGCAGAGTCTCTGGTAAGATAGCTCAGCAGACTAAGCACCTGCTTAGGCAAGAACAGGGACCAGGGTTCAATCCTCGCACCACATGACCTGCTGCCCCCACGCCACCAAGTCCAGGCATGTTGGCACACACCTGTAATCCCAGAGCTGGGGAGGGTGAAAACAGGAGGATCACTGCGAGTCTGAGCTGCATAGTGAGACCCTGTACAAATACATAAAAATAAATAAACAAAATAAAATAAATTGCTTTGGCTGACCTGGAATTTGTGGTCCACCTACCTCTGCTTCCTGAGTAGCTGGGATTACAGGTGTGTTCCTCTCCAGGCCCAGCTACAGAACAGCTGCTTTAAAAAAGGTTGTTAATCTTTGTCCCAGTCAGGAAAGGCCTCTCAGGAGGTGGCCCAAAGCTCTCTGTGACATTTTACTAAGCAAGCTCTTCACGCTCACTTCCTCATTCAACGCTTACAAAAAGTGTGGCTTAGATACGGACAGCCCCACTGGATGGCGGAAGCAAGCGGGCACAGAGAAGGCCGGCCACTCACCTCGGGTCACACAGCTGGGACACGGCATGTCTGAGATTCGGTTCCCAGGAGCAGATAGCAAAGCGAGTGCTCTTACCCATGGTGCCGCGCTGCTCCTTCTTGTGTAGCCTCAGGATTCTAGAGCTTCCCCAGGCCAGGAAGATGGCTCAAGGCAAGACAGAGGAGATGGGGACAAGCAAGCCTCTGAGGAAGGTAGCGAAGGGAAGAGTGCGAAGGGCAAGAAGAGCGGCAGGTATAGAGGAGAGCAAGGAGCACGCCCAGGGCATCTGCATGTGAGTGGGGCACTAACTCTGGGCTCCCACAGGTTAGAGACATGGAATCACCTGGTGCAGCTACTCAGGAGGCTGAGGCAAAGAGGTTGGTCTGAGCCCAGGAATCTGGGACCACGGGGCACCATAGCAAGACCCTGTTTCTAAATTAAATAGACACATGGCAGACTTTCCGACCTCTTCTTCAGAGGTTCTGATTCAATGGGGCTGAGACTCGAACCAGGAACTCTATTGTAAGCTCCCCCAGGGTGGGGGAGTGGGCGGATACAGGTGGCCCAGGGACCACGCTGTGACACATTCAGCACAAACTTCAGGATCTGCATGAGACCCCTTCCTCTCTCAAACACGCCCTTCCCTCCTGACACCCAGTAGTCTATGTTTTGTTTAGTTTCTTGAGACAGAGTCTCGCTACACAGTTCAGGCTAGCTTTACATTCATTATGCAGCCCACACTGCACTTGAACTTGTATGGATCCTCCTGCCTCAGCCTCCTGAGTGCTAGGATTACAGGTGTATGCCACAATGCCAGACTATAATGCTAGTATTCTGCTGTACTCTTCTCCCTGTGGCCAGAGACCCTACCCCCACCCCCACATGCAGCAGGACTGGTCCGGGCATCCTAAGCTCACTCCTGTTCTCTTCCCATGGCCCACCCATTCCTGTCTTCTTTGCTCTGGGCCTTCTCCCGTGGGAGGATGAATCTGAGTTTCCTCCCCTTATCCTCCAGGGCCCCAGAGCTCACCCTTCAGGGATCTGCTCAAGTATTATCTTTATAAAGCCTTCCCTAATCACAACACATTTCTTTAGCCAGTAACAGTGGCACATGTCTGTAGTGCCAGTCATGCAGAAGGCTGAGGCAGGCTGAGCACAAGTTTGAGGCCAACGTAGGCAACTTAAGAGAGATTCTGTCTCAAAATAGAAAGGGAAAATACAGAACAGTGGTGCAAGCCTGTAGTCTCAGCACTTAGGGAGGCTACGGCAGGAGGATCTTAAATTCGGGTTCTATCTGGACAACTTAGCTGAACCCTGTCTCCAAATTAAAAAAAAAATAAAAATAGAAAGGGCTGAGATGGGCCAGGGAGATGGCTCAGTAGAATAAGTGCCTGCCTGGCATGCACAAGGGCCTGAGTTCAATCCCCAGTTCAAAAAAAAAATGGCTGAGGAGGTAGCTCAGTAGTAGAGCACTCTTTTGTTCAGTAACCAGTATTAGAAAATGAGGATAGGGCTGGTGAGATGGCTCAGTGGTCTAAAGCACCTACTTAGAACAAGCTAAGCCAAGCAAAGCACAGGGACCGCGGTTCAATCCCCCAGCACCACATGCCAGCCCGCCTGCCCCCTGGTGGGCTAAGCTGGCCACACACAAAACAAACAAATAAATAAATAAATATTTAAAAAAAAGAAAAAAAGAAAATGAGGATAAAGAGTAAATGAGAAATGGATGCAAGAAGTATTACAGGCACCTAATAAACGGTTGCCATTGTGTTGGGTGCAGCTTAGTGGTAGAGTTTACCCTGCAGGCCTGAGGCCCTGGGGTCTGTTCCTGGGAAAACAGACAACAACAACACAAGTAGCTATTCTTTTCTTTTACTGCTGCTTGACCTCGAGAAGATCAATCTGTGCAGCTCTAATAGGAGCTCACAGGCTTGTGTCAAGCACTGCATTCATTAATACAAGAACTTGTTATTATTGTCCCTATTTTATAATTAAAGACAATGAGGCAAAGAGAGGTTAGGAAATGTGTGAACATTCTCCTAGGTGGAACGAGGAAGCACTTGGCACCAGGTCCTGAGATTACCTTTCTTTTTATTTTTATTGGGGTGGGGGTTCCTGAGGATTGAACCCAGGGCATTACCCATGTCAGGTGAATTCCATACGCCTGCACTACATTCCCCAGCCCAGGCCTGAGTTTCACACAGCAGGACACTGATGCTGTCGCCAGTGGGACCCTGAGTGTGGCATATGGTGGGCTCTCAGGAGACTCTGAGTTGATAGTATTTTTTTTTAATGTATTTGGTTATTACAGGGTCTCACTCTGTGGCTGGGACTCATAGTAATCCTGTGGCCAGCTCAGCCTGCCCTGGGGGTGGGGCTGGCGCAGCATGGGGTGCTGGGAATCGAACCTCAGTCCCTGTGCTTGCCAAAGCTTGCCTAAGCAAGTGTTTTAGTTTGCTGAGCTATCTTTCCGGCCCCTGAGTAAATAGTGTTTACATCAAAATCACCCAAAGATGTACTGGCCATGATGTTTTGTGCTCTTTATTTGATAAGACTCAATACTTTAAGATCTCTAATGAGAATGGAATGTAAAAAATTAATCTAGGAAAAAAAATCAGATTGGGAGAATTCAGCCCTCTAAAAACTTGGAGGGGAGTCCAATCTTTAGTGGGGTGATCATGGTTTTTAACCCAAAATGGTCTGGGGTACTGGGAAGAAGGAAAAGTGCATTGGTTCCCCTGCCCCACTTTCTGGATTCTTCTTCAATTACTATGTCCTCGCTGCCTCTCTCCACATAAACAGCTGGGAAAGATGCAGGGTAAGGAGACGGGGGAAGAAAGTCCTGGTGCTATTTTCTAACTGGGGCATGCCAAGGGGAGGAGCCCCTCTCTCCTGGCTTCCAGCTCTCTTCCAATTCAGGTCATTAATCTTACCCACCCTCCACTAAGCCTCTTGCAAATTGCAGGGAGCCCACAAAACCTTCTCTCTGCGCCTGGCATCTTCCCTGCAGCATCTGTTGCTCACCTGAATCCCGTGGGTCATGTTTCTTCCACCCCAGAGGAACCTTGGAAATATTAAGTTAAGGGAAGTCTTCGGTCCTGCCCCCCTTCACACAGCAGCCCGGCTTTGGGTGACTCAGAAGAGAAGACGACACAGAAAACAGAGCACAGAACAATGGTTGATTGCCCCAAGGCCCAAGAGATCATGAATTAACCCGAGTCTCAGAAAAACCAACAAAGACAATCCCAGTTGGGTCACTGGACACAAAAGCTAGCAAGAGTCACCACCACCAAGTTAGACTAGGAGGCTTTCTGGAAATGGACCACTTTCTGAAATGCTTGCCGGAAGTCTTCGTTGAACACAGTGTAGATGATGGGATTGATGAGGGAGTTTAAATAGCCTAACCAGGTGAAGAAGTCAAAGAGGGCCGGGTGGATCCAGCAGGAGTCCCGGCAGATGGGAAGGACCAGAGACGCCACGAAGAAGGGCAGCCAGCAGATGATAAAGGCCCCCAGGATGATCCCCAGGGTCTTGGTTGCCTTCCTTTCCCGAGCGGCGGAGATCCTCTTGCGTTCCAAGACACTGTCGGCCAGTTTGATCCTGACGTGGCTGAAGAAGAGCGGGGAGCCGGGGTGCGAGTGGCCCTCGTGGAGGCTGGGGTTCAGCGAGCACAGTGAGGAGCCGGCAGAGCCAGTGATGAGATGCGCGGTGGTGAAGCGCTTGCCACTCAGCGAGGGCGGATTCAGGATGCGGCTGCGGGCGGCGGCATAGATGCGGCTGTATAGGATGATGAGCAGGACGGAAGGGATGTAGAAAGCCCCGCAGGTGGAGTAGATGGTGTAGGAGATCTGAGACGTGTTCACCAGGCAGTCGGACATCTCCTCCTGAGCTTTGGCCTGCCGCCAGAAGAGCGGGGGGATGGAGATGCAGATGGAGATGACCCAGACGGCAGCGATCATAGCCGCCGCGTGGCCGGCTGTGCGGCGCTTGCTGTACTCCAGGGCATCCGTGATGGCCCAGTACCTGTCCAGAGCAATGACACAGAGATGCAGGATGGAGGCCGTGCAGCAGGTGATGTCTGAAGACACCCAGATGTCACACAGAATTTGGCCAAAGCTCCAGGTGCGGGTGGTGGTGTATGCAATGCTGATCGGCATGACCAAGACGGAAACCAGGAGGTCAGTGGTAGCCAAGGAGCCAATGAGATAGTTGGCCGGGGTGTGGAGCTTCCGGGTGAGTAAGATGGTGGTAAGGACAAAGGCATTGGAGAGCAAAGTGGCCAACGTGATGATGGACAGGACCACTACAAGGGAGATCTGGAGCGCCTGCAGGATCCCTGGGTCCCAAGCCCCTGGGGTATCTGTAGCATTTGAGGATCTGTTGGAGGCCTCCTGGAGAAGAAGGCCTTCTACTGACTGGTTTGTGGGGGACATGCTAGGTGGCTGTCTCTTCCCAGGTTTCCACACACAGGGCTCCTCCTTTCATAACTGTCCTGACATTAGAGCAAGGTCATTCCTCTGCTTCGTGCTGGTGGGCACCGTGTGTGAGGGCAGATCACAGGCCTCCAGACTTGGCTATTTCAAGAACCCCAACGCAGCTACCAGCTGGCAGCTACAGGTCTGTCCTAAACCCAGTGAATCCACAGACGTCTCACTGTTCTGGAACTCTGCCCAGCAGATGGTCCAGCCCAGTGGACTCATGCTGGGTTTGTTAGGCAGTTGATGCGGTACCACAGAGAGGTGGGCAGCACTCTGGGGTTCTTGCTTTTGGCATCTTGGTTGCGTTCGCAGTTTAAGAGATCAGCATTTTTCACGAAAACTTTAAAATCTCTCCCATCCCCCAACAATGGAGATTCTGGATTTCAGTTTACTGCCAGGGAACTTTTAAAACTAGAGACAGAGAAGACCAGCTGATTCAGAGAAACAGCTTAGGCAATGGCTCAGCTTTCTCACATTCATCCCGACACATCTTGGGACACTTCACTTTGGTTTCCATCCCACTGTCGGATTTGAGGCTGAACAGACAAAACATTCCAGTTACCAAGGCCTGAAGAACGCATGAGCTGGGAGAAGCTGAAACAAATAGATCACCATCAGTTTACCCAGAGGAACATGAGTTCTGATGCTCTGGGGCTGAAAAGGAAAAAAAAAAAAAAAAAAAAAGGAAAGTTAGGCTCTAGAAGGGTGATTTTTTTTCTGAAGGTTGAAATTCTAAGACAGTGTGTGGCCAAATTGGCCTTCCCAAAGGTGTTGGGAGAATACAGAGGAGGGGGATGGGCTTAACCCCCACAGTTCCCAAGTTCCCAGAGGGGACCAAGTATCCTCACTATTGGAAGCATCACAGGCTCGTTACAAATGAAACCTGCTCTGTCAATTGTGAATCAGAAAACATGTTCTGTTTATTCAGCAGTGGAAACTAAATTAAATAAAACTGCACAGGAGGACACGAAGGCCATACCCCCCAACACAAGATTAGTGTGATGTATTTCTCTAGGGATTGTGGAGGAGTCTTTTCCTCTACTCATTTGAATTTTCAAATTTCCCAGAATAACTTTTTTTGTTTTTCCCCCTGTAATCAACTTTGTAAAGTTTTCTGTTTCACTTCTTAAATAAACCAAAGTTTAACTCGCACAGTTGCATTATCAACTGTCAAAACCTCCTACTTTTTTTTTTTGGTGGAACCGGGGATTGAACTTAGGCCCTTGTGCTTGCCAGGGAAGTGCTTATTCTACTGAGCCATCTCCCTGGGCCCAAACCCTCCTACTTTTAACAGACTATAAATAGAAATAGAACCACACAAAGAAACAGTTTCTGGAAGAATTTCTCGCATCTCAGTTTTTGATGTTATACCTAAAGTTCTGGTTTTCAAGTGTCCTTGAAGATATTTGAATCTATATTGTCCTGAAGTAGGGAAAGCATTTTTACTACTGAAGGATATTTAAAACTCCATAACAACATTTAGAATACTTTCCTGTACAATTTCACAATAAAGAGTTTAACTTGTTTTAAAAAAACAAAGCAAAACAAAAAGGGTTTGTTTTTTTTTTTGTGGAACCAGGGATTGAACTCAGGCCCTTGCACTTGCCAGGGAAGTGCTTATTCTACTGAGCCATCTCCCTGTCCAATAAAAAGAATTTCCCAGAGTAAGAATGAGTGACTCTTTATTTTTTTTTAATCTTTTTTTTTTTTTTTTTTTTTTGCAGAACCGGGGATTGAATTCAGGCCCTTATGCTTGCCAGAGAAGTGCTTATTCTACTGAGCCATCTCCACAGCCCTGAATGACTCTTTAAAAAAAACACGACAAAAACGCTTTCTTGTTAAGCAAAGAAATTAACTGCAAAAGTTAAAGTCCTTGAATAGTTTTCACCAGGGGAAGGTTAACTCCAGAAAATTCATTCAACTTTCCAAATGGAAAGTGGAAATTTGGCCATAGACACCAATACATGCTTCCATTCAGTGGCACCTTGGTTCTGCATGTAAACAGTTTGGTTGACAAACAGAAATATTGAGCAAAACTTCGCTTTTGTTTGCTAAATCTGTATCTGAGGGTGAACTCGAAGGCAGCAATCTTTCCCACACAAACACAAATGTAGCAGTCTTTTCTAAAGTCATAGAACAAATTAAATTTGTGAATATATATAGATTTTTTTTTTCATAAGATTTTTTTAGTACTGGGGATTCAACCTAGGGCCTTTGCCCTAAGCTACATCCCTCTACCTACCTTGTTCTTCTGAGACGGGATCTCACTACCTTTTTTTTTTTTTTTTGGTGGAACCAGGGATTGAACTGAGACCTTTGCGCTTGCCAGGGAAGCACTTATTCCACTGAGCCATCTCCCCAGCCAGGATCTCACTAAATAACCAAACTGTGATCCTTCTGCTTCACTCTCCCACAGTGTTAGTATTATAGGGGTCTCTGCCTGGCCCACAAGAAAGACGTCTTGGACACTATTATTATGTCTCCTTCGTGTGCTTCTGACAGCGGAGCACCTTAGGGTTCTGAGGGCTTGGTATGAATGAGGGAGGGCAAGCCAAGGACAGTCAGCACAGGGCCATCTCTGGCACAACCCCAGCCCAGGCCATGGAGCCCAACAGGCAGTGCCTGGGTGCCAGAAATCATTACCGTCAGAACCCCGTTACCCACAGCTCAGCTCGGGCCTTGGTGTACAAGGTTCTGAGTCTATGCTTTCTCCCTTTCTTCCTTTTAATTTCTTTCTTTTCTTCTTCCTTTCTTCCTTCTTTCCTTTCTTTTTTTTTCTTTCTTTCTTCCTCCCCTTTTTCTTGTGGGGTGTGTGTGCTACCAGGGATTGGACCCAGGCCATTCCTACTGAGCTACATCCCCAGCCCTTTGTCTTTTGAGACAGGGTCTCACTAAATCACTAAGTTGTATAGATGGGCTGGCATTTGTGATCCTCCTGCCCCAGCCTCCTCTACACAGCCTAGCCTGGCTGTGAATTCACAATCCTCCTGATTACAGGCATGTACCACAACCTCCACCTGGATTGGTTAACTTTACTTTTTATTTATTTTTATTTATTTATTTATTTGTGGAACCGGGGATTGAACTCAGGTCCTTGCGCTTGCCAGGGAAGCGCTTATTCCATTGAGCCATCTCCCCGGCCCCTGGATTGGCTAATTTTAAACATTAAGACACTACACCAGCGATGTGTTTGTTCTTTCGCACTTCCCATATTGTGGGTGCTTCATTTAAAATAAATCTGCTTGGAGAGGGACAAAGCCTCAATTCAAGATACCAGTTCTAAACTACCAACTCCAAAACACATCCCACAATTTGAAAGAAATCACCATCATAATTTTTTTTTTTTATATTAGAGTTCTTGCTATATTCCAGCACTGAGCTAGCTCTAGGGCTTACAAAGAGATGTCCAGCCCATCAAGTGGGCAATATGGCCCCAACTTACAAACGGGCCAAGGATGCTCAGAGAGGTGATGTCACCTGCCTGAAGTCACCCAGCTAGAAGCAGAACTGGGTCCAGAGCCCTTCACATTTCTATGGGGCTCTACATTGCTGAATTTCAGGAAGAAAAGCCTCAAGGCATAGGATTAGGCTGCCATGGTGACAGTGAGGAAGCTTCCTGCCCCCACTCGCCCAGGGCTGGACTCCAAGAGCCTCTGGCTGGTTTTCCTCCTACTGTGGTTCACATGAAAAATGTGAAATCAGGTTGGACCATTTGGAATTTTCTTCCCTCCAGACAGCCTGGGTGAGGGTGGCGCCGCCGTCCTTTCCCAGGGAAGCTGGTGTTCTTGCCCCACAACTCAGGCCATTCCAAGCATTCCAGTGACCTCATTTCAGCTAAGGGTGTGGGCTAGAGCTGGTGAGTATGCAAGCCTTGGTGACATCTTGGGAAGAAGGAGGACAGACAGTGGATGGCTTTGGGCAGGAAACCTGGGCTGGTGTTTGTCAGGAAGCAACCGGATTCTGAAGCTGCCCACTTCCTTTCCTGTGGCTGTCGCACCCCATCCGGCACAAAGTTGGGGGAAACTGTCCATAACCTGTTGCCTTTGGAGATGCGAACTGTAAGTGACTGCTAAGTTGGACATGGTGGTGCAAAAGTAGCCTCCCTGTTACTTGCAAGGCTGAGGCAGAAGGGTCACAAGTTCAAGGCCAGCCTGGGCAACTTTGAAAAATTCTGTCCAAATAATAAATCAAATAAGGGATGGGGTGTGTGCTGTGGTCATGGAGTGCTTGCTTAGCATATACAAGGCCCTGGGTTTCATCTCCAGCAACACACACACACACACACACACACACACACACACACACGTGCCAAATATGCTGGCACATACT